CTAGTATAAGAACTCAAAAGTAGAAATACAATTGAAAGTCATAACACAGTTAAAATAAAGCAAGAACTTGAGTTCTAGACAACGAAGAGAGAGCAAGGAGAAGAGCTATGAAACATGTCAGAGGCATGCTATACAGTTATATTTACATCATACGTAAAGCAACGATATGGAGAATCTTCAGAAGGCTTTTGAATCTAGCAGTTAATTGGAAGGATTCTTACCCAGACTAACTACATACTGACACCTTGGAACTCAGCAACTGCACTGAAGATGGCCATTTTTGATTGTAGGTTCATGCTTGGAGTGCCTGTCATTCTGGTCTTCTGAATATGTGCTGATTTTTATGACACACTAGTTGTTGCCATGTGTTCTCTGCAGTAGATGACTGTTTACAAAGAAAAGGCATTGTTCAGTGAAGGCAGAATACAGAAAAAAGAGTGTTGAGGGATTATACTGCAATAATGTTTTATATGCTTAGATTTCTGGACTTATGTGTAAACATATATAATTCTTAATTCCTTTCTGAAACGCATTTTAATTTTTTTAAATTTTTACGTCATACTCTGTAGGGACTTTAAGTTTACCATATCAATACTTGATGAAAAATACCTGTTCAATGGTTTACCTGAGATGTTTGATATTCAGACAGAGAGTGAAGTTAAGCTAAACTGTTTGTTTTATATGGCAATAACAATAAGCTTCTCTTCTGAATGGTTAAGTACCTAAGCATGCAGACCAAATATTAGAGAAAAAGGAGGGCCGTAAGGAAAGCCAACATTTTGCCCCTAGTCTTCCAAGGTCAATTAATACTCAGGACACATGCAAATTTGTACTGCAACATCATTAAACTCAGTTGTGTCCCAAATTTTCTGATCAAGGAGATTATGGGACCAAAGTGGAAAGCGATCAATGATGTAGAGTGTGCCTAAGGAGTGTCATATGGAGAGACAGTGTTTTTTCAGGCTTTCACAGAGACGAAATTGGCCAAGCAATGGCCGTAACTCATCCACATGGCTAACACTGACAAAGGATCTACAATCTGAGGTACAGGGTCTCTGGATAAATCCTGAGGGCATTTGACTGAACTTTTCAGATCAAAAAGCTAAAATTCTTATTACATAGGTCTTGCTTTATCTTGGTCTTAACCATCCAGCAAGAAAGTATAAAACGAAGTGCAAAAAATAAAGCCATGTATTTATCTTGAGATGTATGGGGCTCCGGTCAACAACTTCTGACATTTCCAGTAAAGTGGAAGACCCACTGCTATTATGGACTACTGGACTGTTTTCGAATATTTTGCTGAGTTCACACAGTTGTAATATTTAAAGGATAGAACTAAACACAAAAAGATGATATAGGTGAAAATTCATTTTGTGTCTGTGTATTTAAATTTAGTAGGATAGATATATATGTACATTCTTTTAATTCAAGGAAAAGAAGGGTTTGTTCTAATAGTGTTTGTAAGTAGGGTAGCATTTCTGCATCTTGTGGCACAAACAACCACTAGGAAGGCTGTATGCAATGTGTTAATTATTGGAACTGTCCTACCAATTTGATTTGAAACTGTCTCATGGTTATTTATTTCTCAATAAAATTATTGGGAAAAAAAGAAATCATTGCTAAGTGCTTCTAAAGCAGACTCCTTAAAATATAGAGGATAGAAAAATGATAGAAGCCTTCAAGGAGCAATTTAGGAGTGAAATCTAATTCATGAAGCAGATTCAAAATGAAGCACTGGAAATTAAATCCTCCATCTCATGGTGGCCAAACCATTTGAATGAAAGTGAAGATAGACTATCAGTCCTTAAAGACACCATCACGTCTAGTGAAAAGTTAAGAAAAGATCTCTTAAAAACAAATACTGTGCAAGGAATAATAATTCAACCTAGGTAAGCTGATACAAAGATGACCAATGTAAAGCTAACAGGTATCAATAAGGAAGGAGTGAACACAAATGTTACAAAAAGAATATGAGATAAAATAATACCAGAAAACTTCCCAAAAATGGGGAAACATTTGGATATTTATGTGATCAAAGCATATAGAACTCCAAATAACATCAACCAATTTAAAAACACACCCACATATATAATAAACATCCCAGAAATTCAGCACAGTAAGAGTATATTAAAAGCTGCTAGAGTACTCGATTTATCAGCACATATACTAAAATTATAACTATCAGTGAAGAATAAAATGGGCCCTGTTCAAGGATGACATGCAAATTCATGAAGCGTTCCATATTTTTAAGCAAAATCCAACAATATGCTATATACAAGTAACACACAACACAGATAAAGAAATTCATAGACTGAAAGACAAAGAATGGAAAACAGTATAACATGCCCTAGTACCTCACAAAAAAGCAGGGGTAGCAATCTTGTTTGCAGACACTTTCAACATCAAACCAAGAATGATCATAGGTAGTAAAGAAGGCCACTATATACTGTTTAGGAAAAAAATTTCAAAAGGAAAAATTAACAATCAAAAATATGTAAGCACCAAGCATGAGAGCACCCAGCTATACAAGACAAATTTTAGTGAACATGAAAAATCTAACATCCAATATCACAATCTTAACAGAAGACCTTAATACCTCATTAGCCAAAAAGATAGGTCAAGCAGACAAAAAATTAGCAAAGAAGTAGCACAACTGAAACAAAGCTTGGAACAGATGGACTTAGTGGATATATAGAGAGTGCTTCACCCAACAGTAACTGAATGCACACTTTTTCAGCCACACATGAGATATTTTCTAAAATACACTACATATTAAACCATACGTCATGGAATTATCCCATGCATATTATCTCAAACAGTACAAAGAAACTGGAAATAAATGACAAAACAAACAAACAAACAAAAAAACCAATACATACATGGAAATTGAACTACACCCTCATCAGCAACAAATGGGTCACAGAGGAACATAAACAGGAAATTAAACAATATCTACAATTCAATGAAAATTCAAGCAAATCATATCAAAATTTATGTGGTGAATGAAAGCATGTCTTACAGGGAAATTTGTAGCTCTGATATCACGCATTATAAAAATGGAGCAGAAACAAGGAAATACCCTAATGTTGCACATCAAGGTCAAGAAAAGGAAGAACAAACCAAACCCATAGCCTGAAAAGAGGAAGAAATTATAAAGTATAGAGAAGAAAATAATTCAATTGAGCCACAGAAAGCAATACAAATAATTAACGAATCAAAAAGCTGGCTCATTGAAAGAGCAAATAAAATTATTAAACCCCTAGCTAACCTCATCAAAAAGAGTAAAGAAAAAACTCGATTTCAACTAATAAGGAATGAAAAGGATGAAATTACACAGACACAATGGAAATTCAGAAGATTATCAATAGCTACTTTGAGAATATTTACTCTCACATTATAGAAGACACAGATTAAATAGACAGATAATTAGAAAGGCACAAATTACCAGAATTGAATCAAGAAGATCTCAGAACCCTTGACAACCCAATAACAGCCAATAAAATGCAAAATGTAACAAAAAACCTACCGACAAAAAAAGTCCAGGTCCTGATAGATTCACAGCTGAATTCTACAAGAATTTTATGGGTGATATAATGTCAATACTCCTTAAACGCTTCAATGAAATTCAAAAGGAAGTAAGTCTCCCAAAATCGTTCCTGTAGGTAAGTATTACATTGATATCAAAACCAGAAAAATGCAAAACCAAAAAGAGAACCACAGGCTAATCTCCCTCATGAACATAGATGCAATTATTCTCAATGAAATCCTAGCAAATCAAATAGAGCAAAACATCAAGATTACACAGTCATCACCAGGTAGGATTAATCCCAGTGCTGCAAGGATGGTACAATATATGTAAATCTCTAAATGTATTGTACTACATCAATAGACCCACATCCAAAAGCCACATGATCATCTCAATTGATGTAGAAAAGGCTTTCGAGAAAAGGCAACAGTCATTCGTGTTCAAAGTCTTACAGAAAATTGGAATAGATGGCTTATACCTCAATCTGATAAAAGTCATCTGTGACAATTCAATGGCTAACAGAATGCAAAATGAGGAAAAACTGAAATCGTTTACTCTCACATATGGCACAGGGCAAGGATTTACTCTAACACCACTCCTATTCGATAGAGTTATTAAATCATTAGCTAGAAACATTAGATAAGTGAGAGAAATAAAAGGAATAATAATGGGTAAAGAAGAATTTAAAGTATTATTATTTGATGATGGTATGACACTCTACCTGGAAGAACTTAAAAGCTCCATGAAGAAGCTATTAGAATTAATACACAAATTCAGTAGCATAGCAGTATACAAAGTGAATACCCAAAAGTCAATAGCATTCATCTACACAGATAACACACTGAGAAGAAAGTTAGAAAACTACATTTTTACAAAAGCACTACGGAAAATGAAATACTAAGGAATTAATCTAACTAAAGGAGTAAAAGATCTAGCCAATGAGAATGACAATACTCTGAATAAAGAGATTGGAAAGGATTTTTAAAAATGGAAAGTTATTCCCTGCTCCTGTACAGGAAGAACCAACTTTGTGAAGATGGCCATACTCACAAAATTGTTTTACAGATTTATTGCTATCTCAATGTAAATAACAATAACATACACCATAGACTTAGAGAAATCATTCCTAAAATCCGTTTGGAACAAAAATGACCAAGAATACCAGAGGCAATCCTTGGCAACAAAGACAAGGCTGGAGGCATTGCAATACCTGACTGAAATTATACAACAAAGCTACTGTGATAAAATCAGCATGGTATTCACAAAAAGATAGACTTGAGGATCAGTGGAAGAGTTTAAAAGATGCAGAAGCAATTGCAAACACACTCAGCCAACTTATCTTTGACAAACAGGCTAAAATTTCTTACTTGGAGAAAGATAGGATCTTTACCAAATGGGGTTGGAAAAACAAGGTCTCTACATGCCAAAAACTAAAACGGGTACCATGTCTATCACCATGAACAAAACTAAGCTAAAATGGATAAAATATCTAAACATTAAAACATAGAAACTAAATCTCCTGGAAGAGAAAGTAGGAGGAACTCTTGAAGATATTGGGATAGGCAAAGAGTTATGAAAATAAATCAAACTGCATGAAAAATACTTCAAAAAGTAATAACTGCCACCTCTTCTTATTGGGAAACCTTTCCACATCAAAAGAAATTAGAAAAAAGTGAAAAGACAATCCACAAATTTGGAAATGTCTTAAATGATAAGCACCCAGACAAAGGTTTCTCTCTAGAATTTATGAAAACTAAAAAAGTAGGTCCCCAAAATTTGAAGACCCAATCCAAAAATGGACATCAGAGATGAACACATATTCTCAAAGGAAGAAATTCTACAAGCTAATAAATACATGAAAAAATGCTCCACATCACTAGCCATCTGTGAAATGCAAATAAAAACAACATTGAGATAACATCTTACCCCAGAAACACTGGCAATCATAAAGAAGTCAACCAACAACAAATGTTGAAGAGGCTGTGTGGGAGATGGATCCCTTCTCCACTGCTGATGGGAATGTAGACTGCTGCAACCATTATGGACATCATCATGGAGACTTCTTAAAAAACTAAGACTCGAAATCCCATTCAATCCAGCTATTCCCTTACTGAGAATTTTCCCAAAAGAACTGAAAACATCATATCATAGTGATATATGTGCACCTATGTTTATAGCAGCATAATGTGGGATAGCCAATTCTTGGAAGCAGCCAAAATGCCAGTTACCTGAGGAATGGATGAAAAAGACTTTGTGATTTTATACAATGGTTTATTTCTCATCTCTAAAGAATGTTAAACTCGAAGCCTTCCCATATATGTGGATGAATCTTGAAGGTATACTTACAAATGAAATGAACCAGACCAACATGTGTAAATGTCGTGTACTCTCCCTAGTTTAATAACTCAAAAGAAGAAATAAAGTATGAAATGTATAACACAACTAAACAGAAAGTAAGAATTTAAGGATTCAACAATGAGGAAAGGGCAAAGAGAAAAGCTAAGAAATATGGGAGGAGCAAAAGCATGCATTTATATACACAGGATGTTTAATGGAATAGCGCTAACAATCTCCATGAGGTTTTTGAAACCAGCAGTTAATTGGGAGGATTCTCACCCTGACTAATTATGTATGTCGATACCTGTGAACTAAGCAACTGCACTGAGGATAGCAATGTGTAATATTAAAGCCATGCTTAGAATGGCTGTCATTCTGGTCTTCTAAATGTGTACAGCTTATAATATCATATCAATCACTACTATACTCTCTCTCAACTAAGTCTTTGTTTAAAAAAAAGGTAATAAAAGAAAACAAAAGACAAGAAAAAAATGTCATAGGACTATACTGCTACAAACTTGTATATGGTTAGATTTCTAAATTTCTGTGCAAAAATTGTGTAAATATTTATTTTTTATTCTTTTATTTATTTTTTTCAAATGTTTCAGGGATTTAAAGTTTATCATATGAACGATTGTTGGAAAATACCTTTTTCATGTTATGTTTAAAGCATTTTATATTCAGTTAGATAATAGTGTTAGGCTCAACTGTCTATGCTAAAAGGAAATAATATCATTAAGCATCTCTTCTAGAGGGTTAACAACATAACTTGGCAGACCAAAAAATTAGAGAAAAAGAAGGGCTACAGGGATAGCCAACATTTTGGTCCTAGCCCTTAAAGTTCAGTGTGGACCCAGGACATAAGAGAACCTGTACTGTAACATCCTGTAATTCAGTAGTGTCACAAATTTTCTAATCACGGAGATTATGGGGCCACAGAGGAAAGTGATTGACAATGTAAAGTGTGCCTAAGGATAGTCGCCTGGAGAGAAAACTTTTTCTCAGGTTTTCACAGTGAAAAAATTGGTCAAGCAGTGGCTGTGGTAATCAGCATGGCTTGCAATGACCAAAGATCTAGAAACTCATCTACAAGATTTCAGGGTAAATCCTGAGGTTATTTGACGTATCTTGTCAGATACAAAAGTTATAATTTTTGTTATATAGGTGTTGCTTTATCTTGGTCTTAACCATCCAGCAGAAAAGTATAAACAAGAGGTATAAAAAATAAAACATAATAATATGCTGAGCAATCTGTATACAAAATAGTAAGGATAAATATATAGCTACTTTCTCTTAGTTCAATGAGAATTAAGATTTGTATGAATAGTATTTAGACCAGATATAATGTCTTCATCTTTTACTATGAATAACTATTATGAAGACAA